CACAGGCTGCCAAGGACACCATCGCCGTCGGCGCCAAGCACGCTGCTGACGGTGCCGCCAACGTCGGGCATGCTGCTATGGACACCGCTGCAGGTGCTGCACAGGCTGCCAAGGACACCCTCACTGTGGGCGCCAAGGCTGCCGTGGATACTGCGACCAACGTTGGACATGCTGCCATTGACACTGCTGCGGGCGCTGCTCAAGCTGCAAAGGATACCGTCGCCGTCGGGGCCAAGCACGCTGCTGACGGTGCCGCCAACCTAGGCCACGCCGCTGCTGACACCGCTACCAACGTTGGACATGCTGCCATGAATACCGCAATAGCGGCAAAGGACACTCTCGCGGTCAATGCCAAGAATGCCGTAGACACGGCCAATGCTGCCGCACAGGAAGCGAAGGCTACCGTGCAATCAACTGCCAAGGTTGCGGCGGACAAGGCGGCTGAAGCCAAGGATGACCTTGCTGCCAAGGCAAAGACGACACTTGACACTGCAGCCCACAAGGCTGAGGAGGTCAAGGACAACATCCAGTCAGCTGCCAAGGCCGCTGCAGAGAAGGCTGTTGAAGTCAAGGACGATCTTGCTACCAAGGCCAAGACCACACTTGATACTGCAGCCCACAAGGCGGAGGAGGTCAAGGTCAACGTTGAAGCAAATGCCAAGGCCGCTGCAGACAAGGCTGTTGAAGTCAAGGACGATCTTGCTGCCAAGGCTAAGTCTACTGCCGATGCCGCGGCCCACAAGGCTGCTGAGGTCAAGGACGATCTTGCTGCCAAGGCCAAGACCACACTTGATACTGCGGCCCACAAGGCGGAGGAGGTCAAGGTCAACGTCGAAGCAAATGCCAAGGCCGCTGCGGACAAGGCTGTTCAAGTCAAGGACGATCTTGCCGCTAAGGCTAAGGATACCGCCGACACTGCGGCCCACAAGGCTCAAGAAGCCAAGGACGATCTTGCTGCTAAGGCTAAGGCTACCGCCGACACTGCGGCCCACAAGGCTCAAGAAGCTAAGGACGATCTTGCTGCCAAGGCTAAGGCTACCAAAGACGACGCTGCATGCAAGGCCAAAACCACCCTGGATACCGCAGCCCACAAGGCCGAGGATGCTAAGGACAACCTTGCCCCTCAGGCCAAGATTACCCTGATCACTACAACCCACAAGGCCGAGGATGCTAAAGACGATCTGGCCCCTCAGGCCAAGACTACTCTGGACACTGCAGCCCACAAAGCCGAGGATGCTAAGGACAACCTTGCCCCTCAGGCCAAGACTACTCTGGACACTGCAGCCCACAAAGCCGAGGACGCTAAAGCAAC